AAATTAAAATAGTAATGTGAAAGGAAATCAAAATAGTCCAGGAAATAAACCCATTTTTCTCAGTAAGCCATTGTGCCTGCAGCTCAGAACCATAACTCTGGCAAGAACTATATTAAATATTGAGAAGAAAAGTCTTAGAATATATCATTGTCATATAAATAAAAGTTGGGTCATCTTGGTTTTTATGTCCATTTGCCATCTTTAAAAGCATCCCATTCATTTCAAACTGTGTTGTGGAATTTCGTATCAGTTAATGAAAAGAATGACATTAATGACATAATACGACTTTTCCAGAAATATTTATTGAATTTAATTTACATCTTCTATGTTCCCCTAACAGATATTTTGTACATTTAACTTTGCTTTTTCTAATGCTTCGGTCTAAATTTTGCAGAACAATTTCTTTTTTTTTAAAGCTTTTTTTTTAGGATTTTATTTATTTATTCATAAGAGAGGCAGAGACACAGGCAGAGGGAGAAGCAGGCTCCATGCAGGGAGCCTGGAGTGGGACTCGATCCCGGGTCTCCAGGATCACACCGTGGGCTGCAGGCGGCGCTAAACCACTGCGCCACTAGGGCTGCCAGCAGAACAATTTCTTAAGAAAATGGTAAATAATATTAACAAAGCTGCTTTCAGGAATATTTGTAGCAATTCTGACACAGTATAAAATGTCTTGAATATAGATACACATACACAAACCACTGTTGGTTTGAAAGTTCAAAAAAAATTATAATAAAAACAACTTATTTAAATTATCCCTCTGAAATTCCCCATTCAACTGCTTCTGGGCTTTGCAAGTCCATGAGGAGAACAAAGAATTGCCATAAATAGGGTAATTAAATGTTATCTTCAAAGCTGCACAGTGCAGAAGCCCAACCTCACCAATAGGAATAGAGAAAGTTTACTTTCATTAATTCATTATTTTTATGCTTTTGGATGAAGAGCCTTCTGGAATGAATTTTCTTTCCTGCCTTCTAAAGGAGACCACACTGGAGCAGCCCTAGCCTTGTCCTTCCCGATACCTCTGAGCCACTCTTAGGTTACAGACGGAAGTGAGGCTGAGGTATTGCTCGTGGAGGCAGTCAAGGATAGGGCAGAGCTCCCGGGACTCCAAGTGGATGTGAGGGGCTGCTCCCCAGCCTGGGGACTCCAGCATCACAGTTTTGTCAGTGCAACCAGGCTCCCTTGAACATAACTCTGGTGGGATTAACACACCTACAAATAACTTAGGGATCCTCCCCTTGAATACAGGTAAGCCTGAGCAATTTGTTTCAGGGAAACAGAAGTGATGCCTCAGAAAGTGTGATATTAAGTCTGTAAAGGTGACTCAGCAGCTGCCTGGCTTCTCTCCCCCTGGCACCTTTGGAACGCTGGCCACCAGGTAAACATTCAGAAGCCTTGGCTGTTCTGGCCTTTTGAGTCTTCCCATCCCAGGCAGCAGGTGTGAGCAGAAAGCCCTGAAATGACCCCAGCTCCTGCTACCACCGGACTGAGAGACCCTTAAGTAAAGGTCAGAGCCCACCACCATCTGAGCCCAGACAGCCCTAGAACCACAAGTGATAACAATAATACACAACTGCTGTAGTTTCTACCACTACATTTGAGGTGGCAAACAGAACCCTCAGAATACAGTTATCCATATCCGATACCGATTTATGGGTTTATAATGAACACCATGACTGTGCCTGGGTACCAGAACTCACCTATTGGTCCTCAGTGCATACGTTCCCTGTCTTAATGTGTGTTCTCGCAAAAACAGACCTTGAGACAAGGATTCTAGTGAAAGCAATTTCCTGAGAGATGAAACCAGAAGGCAATACCAGTAGGAGTGTGGGGAAAGGCAAAGGAAGAAAGTCAATAAAAGGTACAGAACAAACAACTGTTCTGTTGTAAACAGCTGGAGCTCATTGCCACTGGGGATTCCTAGGAGAAAGTGTAAAACATTGCTCGGAGTTGTCCTACTGGAAGGGTATTTATTTTCCAACTTCCCAACATTCATTGATTGAGGGCTGCTCCTGGGAGGCCAAGAGGCATTAATTCCTTTATTAACGTAGTTAATTCATCCTCCTCACTTCTCTAGCATTCAAGCAGAGCAGGCTGGGAGGCCAAAGAGAACCTTCAGGAGAATTGCAGGTGCTGCAGTTGGGACTTACAGGCACGGGAACCCCCAATGCTACTCGTGACCGGAAGTTTCCTACAGATTTTGGAATCAGAGGGAGGGGAGGTGGGTGACACTAAGTGAACTTAATAACTAACTGGTAGCTGCTGCTCAGCCACAGGGCAGGCAGTGGGAGTCGGAGCCAGCTGCACTCTGCTGCAACCAGTGCACTGGGTACCTGCACTCAATATACCAGCCCAGACAGTCCTGGAAATACAATGCATTCGTGCCTGCTGCACCTTCCCTTGGTGCTGACCTCCACACAGGACTCTTCCCATGCTGCACCCCGCCCCCATGAACACATGCAAAGGGCCACACCTTGTTTTTCACACAGATCATTTTTCTGATCCTGCCTCTCTTATGGCTGGCTATTCTCAGATGGCTTCAGCCTTGCCTTTGCAGAGCACCTCTCAGGGTGAAAAGTTGGACACTCGACATTCTAGCTAACTTCCTCTGTGTTCATTCAGTCTGAAGGCCCGTGAGTCATCATCCCTGATCATAAAGGCCTGTAGGTTCTACTTGCTTCTGCCTGGTAAAGGGTGCAGACTCCTCCTTTCTCACTCCATCTTCTCAGAAGCTTGTCTGAAGCCTTTTCTTCCAAGTGTCCAGAGCTGCTGAAAGGCAAGATATGTCTAAGCCAGCATTGTCCACTTGGTGCAATAAACTTTGTGCACTAAATAGAAATGCTCTGTGTCTGTGCAGTCCAATGTGGTAGCCACTAGTTACTCATGGCAACTGAGCAGTTGACATGTGGATAGTGTGACTCAGGAACAAGATTTTACATTCGATTTCATATTATTTGATTCATATTTAAGTGGCCACCATCCTGGTCATCATGGGCATATGTCATGGGTCCTTTGAAACTACTTAAGGACAGCTTTTACTTGAGGGCCTCACTCCCTCCCTGGCCCACAGCAGAGCAGGTCTCCTCTTCCCTCCTGCTTAGGGGGTTACTCCTAATCTGTCTCTCAAACATCCTCATTCTTTGAGGTTTGTTGCTCTGCCCTGCCACCTCCCTTATCTAGCCTCTGGGAGAAGAAAACACGTGCTCTACACAACAATTATGGTTTGATGTCTTTTCCCACTTGGATGTGGACTGGGGAAGGGAGTGCCTGTCAAAAAAAAAAAAAAGAAAGAAAGAAAAAAGAAAAGAGAGAGAGAGAGAATAAAGGAAATAACCTGGAAACCTAAAAAATGTCAAGATGTACACTCCCACGCCTAACTGCATTGTTCTGGCTCAGAGGAGGCAGTCCATTGTACCTCCTTTGGAGACCACCACAGATTTCAGAAGCTAGGATTGTATGCTTTACCATAGTGGCAGAGAGTCCTTTTTAAAATGTACACTTCCTAAACTCCAACTTCAGAAGATCCTGATACTAAAAGCTAGGAATCAGTATCTCTTAAATCTCCTTTACTTGGGCCAGCTTTGGGAGCTGCTTTAATCAACATAATGATGCTGCACTTAGGGAGCTTTTGAGTTGGCTCCATTCCATAAGATCCCCATAGACTGCTCTGCTTTCCGAATGCTTATGTCCAATTTTGCGGTTTTTCTCTTTAATCCTACATTTACTGCCGCCTCTGATTTCCTGCCTCCTTATTCTCCAATACTGCTTCAGGGGAGCACAAGTTAGGTTTTCAAAGTTAGAATATTGCATGTAGTAATAGTAAATAAACTGTGCCTGAAGATCTGATATTTTTTTCTCCATCTCTAGAGTGCCTTCAATGTATGAAATCTGCAACATACGCTTTAGTTACCTTTCTAGGAGTTTGGCCTTCCTTGCCTTGCTCTCTAAAGGCAGACTGCATTTTCTTAGCTATATTTCATGTGTCAGGGCCCACAGCGTACTTATTAATAGTTTGATATTGTCACAAGCCCTCATTTGGCAGTGATTTTCACATTCGCTTCACTACCTCTGCTTTAGCATTGCCAAATGTAAATGGCCTAGGCTTTGTATAAAACAAACAAACAAAACACAAAAAGCACTCCCTCCAGGACAGGCCTGGAAATTGTTGGCATATGATAGCATCTATCTATGAATCCTTCTGCTAGGAAATCAGAAGTCTTCCTGGCAGGTAGAATTGTGTCCCAGGAGACTCATCCCCTCCGGCCAGCACCATGTACAGGATAAGAGAGCTCAAAGCTTCCCGTCCATGGAAAATACTTCACTCAATCACAAGAGTGGATTATGCATATGTAACATAAGTGCAACTTATTTATAACCAAGGAAGAGAGGACCGACATTAACTTGTAATACAGAGAGACTGAAAAATAACTGAATTTATATTGGGGGAAATGATGGATTCTTAAACGCCTTCCTCTGGAGGTAAAAATGGCTCTTCGTGCCTGCTGTTGCTGGGGGGTGGGCGGGTGGATGGACACCACACGGTTAATGAAATTGCTCTCGCGGCTGCCTCAGATTCCCTTTTGCAGAACTTGAGCGTAGGTTGCGCGTTTCAATCTGTTTCCTCGTCCACCCCATTGCCAGGAGTTAAGTCGTGGTGAGGAGAGTTCTGAACCAACGTGATGCTGCGTGCTTGAGGTTATCTTTGCTCGAAAGCCACGGGTCATCTTCCACTTCCCTGCGTACCCAAAGGACTAAAGCTCACCTGGGACCAAAGACCCCTACGGGGACTCACACCCTCCGCCCAGAAATCCCGGGCGCCGGCGATCCGCAGGCTGCGATCCTCCCCCTGCCCGTCTCTGCAGCCTTCTGGGAATTGTAGTTGGACGCCTCGCGCATCCCCGCCGCTCGGGCGGGACCCGGGACTACAAGTCCCGGAAGGCCTTGCGCGCCACGCCTGCGCTGCCCGCCGTCGCTAGAGGAGGGCGAAGGCGCGGAAGGCGAGTCCCAGTCGGGTTAAGAGGTTGGCGGCGGCGGCGGCGGGAGACATGGACAACGCGGGGAAGGAGCGTGAGGCGGTGCAGCTGATGGCGGAGGCTGAGAAGCGAGTCAAGGCTTCCCACTCCTTCCTCCGCGGGCTGTTTGGGTGAGCGCCAGACCTCGAGTGCCCCGGGGGCCTCGGTCGCAGGCCCCCTCCGCCGCCGGTGCCTCCGCGCGCCGCGTGGGAGCCACCTTGTCCCCGGGAACGCCTCGGGCCCTCGCTTCCCCCGCAGCCTGCGGGGAACTCCGAGGCCTTGGAGCCCCCCGGGACCTCCCCAGTTACGGCCCACGGACTCCGCACCCCCGCGCGCCCCAGACCTCCCTGGGGTCCCCAGGCCCCGTCCGTGCCGCGGGGCCTCCGCAGCGTCCCCGGGCCCTTCGGCTCCCGCGTGCTCCCCTCCCCGACACGCCCTGGGGTCCTCCGAGGCGCCCTACGCCCTCCTCGCCCCGCCCGACCCTGGTGCGAGGGCCCCACTGCCCCTCCCGGCGGTGACGGCGTTGCCCAGTTCGCGGTGGGAAAGCTGGGAGACCGGTGTTGGCGGGGGGCCAGCCCGGGAGCAGCGGAGAGGCGGCGCCGGGGACCCGGGCCCGCGAGCCTGGCTGGGCGGTCGGCCCCGCGGAGGGGCGCGGGGGGCGGAGGGGCGCGGGGGGGCGGGGGCGCAGGGGGGCGGAGGGGCACAGGGGCCGGGGGGCGCAGGGGGGCGGGGGCGCGGAGGCGCAGGGGGGCGGAGGGGGGCGGGGCGCAGGGGGGCGGAGGGGGGCGGGGGCGCAGGGGCGCGCCGCCCCCGTCCCAGAGGCCGCGTGCCCCGTTGCCCTGCGCCCGGGACATCTTTAATAAATGTTCGTTGGAGAACGAATACGTCTCTCGGCCCAGTATTTATACTGCACCAGAGATTGATGGATTTTCCGGGGCTTCCTGTTTGACTAAGGATAACGCAGCTCCCAAGTCGGCGTCTCTTGGGAATCCCGTTAATTTTCTGTGATTCTTTGAGGTTCTCCTAGGGAAGGCCTTGAATTCGGACTTCCCAAAAAGCAGAGCCTGCACTGACTGTTCGGGCGGCTGAATATGGTGAATGATTCAGCTGTTTAGGATTAGAGAGGCTGTTTCCGGATGGTTTTGTTGTTGTTTTTCTTTTTAAAAGTGAAAAATCTGCCGACGCCAAGAGCATATTTTTATTTTTGAGAAGGACCAGTACTTAATCTTTGCGTTATTACAGTTTTATTTCTCTGCTAAATTCAGTTTGGAATCTGCTTGTTTTGCCACCTTCATTCTTTTGATTATAACACTTTACCATTGTGGATACATCTCCAGGAAATGCTTAGATGTAGGTTTCACGCACTGCTCAAGTAGTACAGAAAGCACAGATGCATAAAGGTAAGGGTTTCTATGCTCAAGAACCTCTCACAGGGTATTTTATCCTAGCCAGTTTCTAAATTTCTCCTATGATGTGTAGTTCGGAACATAGCAGTTAATCGTAAGTTTGTTGCCCTTTAAAAGTTACCCCAATAAAGGCTCTGACATAAGGAGCACTGCCTCACACTTGATGCTGACACCAAAAGATAGCTCCTCTCTGTGATTCACAAAACGTCTAAAATGTATTCAAATAAAATGTAATGTCCCAGCACCTCTTACCTAGAGGTGATCTTAATGTCACAGCAAATTTCAAGTCAGGATGTGCTTCCTTGAAGAGAAGCTGTAATTGGCAGAGGAAAACATTAGAGCACTTGATAATAGTTGTCTCGGGAATCCTCCTTTCTGTGAAGAGGTGTTGCGTTATTGTATTTGTGAAACTAGGCCAAGTCTTCAGCCAGTAATCCTAAAAGGATTTTGAAAAGGCTTTGCTTATAAATAAATACCTGTTTTCTCCTTGATTGTTGATCACTTACTTATATCATTGACAGGAGGTATAGGAAGCCTTCATCTTAACCCTTCACATTTAGTTTGCACAAAAGTCATTGTATCCTAGGTCAAGCCTGGACATGGCAGGCCAGCTAATTGTTTTAGCTTTTGGATGGGGGGCAAGTTAGCTTTTGTGTGAGAGTTTCGTCTGCCACACAGTATATATCATAGTGAGGGTTCAGTGAGTTTATGCTTGTAAAACATTTAGAGCCACTGGAAGTAGTGATTATGAAATATTAATTAGCATATTCATCAAAATTGTCAGCCGTTGTTTACCAAGGAAGCAGCCAGACATATTTAAGTAACTCTGCCAGGATTTCAGAACCAAAGATCTTTAGGACTAGATCTTTGGTCTTTTAATTAAAGACTTGAAAGAGCTTTGTACCATGTAAGTTTTATTTATCCTATGGGGAGCTGTGTTATTTTCAGTGGTAGTTGTCTCCGGAAAGCTTGGGGAAGAAGAGTTCTCAGGGTTTTGTGAAGTTTTAGTAGTATATAATTACTTGAAGCCAAAAACCAGGTTTCTCTGTCAGTTAGGGTGAGAGGACTGATTCTGTATCAATTTTAGATGTTTAGATTCTTCCATTATATTTGGCATCATTTGTACCTGTCCTCATCCTTCTAGGCTGGAGCACATTAGTCCATCCTGCCATCCTTCCTTTGATGTAGAATTTTCCCATCTACTTGGTACCCTTTCCTGAAATCACAGTGTAGTCCATCTCCATGTCAGACTCCTGATTTAACGGAACACGTGTACTGGCTTGAGTATTATCAGTATGGTCTGAGCCCCCATGTATCTAAGAGCTGACTAGTTAGTGCTTTAAAGGGGACAGGTGATACTGTTTTGAGGTCGTGGCAGCCATTAGAACGTGCTCAGCATATTGCAGCATATTTTGCATGGACTCATTCTCATTATCCTAACTGCAGATTAAAATGTATTAGGAGCTTATCTTTTTCACTCTGTTTATCCACCACCCACACTGGTTTTGTGGCAATACTGTATTCTCACTAAACTATTGCTCTTCCTTTTTTGTTGCTTTTAGTAAGATTAGTTGAAAATATACATCGTAGATTCCTGAGGAAAGGTCAATCATGTATTCTTTGTACAAGGCACAAGTCTCATGCTTGTCTGCAAGATGTTATGAGCCACTTCACAAAATAACTGTTATGGGAGTTCTGCTTTTCTGCTCGACAGTTAAACAGTGGTATATTTTTTGTAGCTGTGGTATTGAATTAAAATTTACTCTGAGGGATTAGCATAGTATAGCAAAACTACCACTGAAAGAGTAGTGTTTTCATTTCATTTGTTCCCAGGGTTGAACTATAGAATTTTGCAGTTAATTTCAAATTCAAATGTGGAATCTTAAGGAACTGCCAGTAAGATCTTAAGCTGGCCTGAGAATGACAGTAAAGCATTTTGAACCTCTAAGATCTCTCATACTTTCTTCTTCTCGCTACTAGGAGGCCAGACTGGGGATAGCCTTCACAGTGCATATCAAAGAGAATGTTGCTGTTTAAGAATGACAGTTGAAAGATGTTCTGTATGGCTAATGCTGTCTTCTCCTGCTTTTCGATGTTGCCCAGTCATAAAGCTTGTAAAGAGCCATAAATTTGCCAGTGTCAGATTCAATGAAAGACCGTATTGGGTTATTTTGACGCAATTAATAGGCGATAATTTCTTAGCTATTTTTGAAAATCGGGAATATTTCTTAAACATGGTGGGCTATTAATTAGCAGTATTCTTCACTCAGTTTTATTTCTACAAAGATTGTTTTTAACTTTTGCCAAAATGTGGTGTGGACATATGATAGCATTTATAAAGCTTTGGGGCACCTGAGTGGCTCAGTTGATTAAGCATCCCACTTTTGGCTTTGAATCGGGTCATGATCTTAGGGTGATGGGATTGGGCCCTGCATCAGGGCTTCTTGCTGGGTGTGGAACCTGCTTGAGGTTCTCTTTGTCCCTCTCCCAGTCCCTACCCTCACTTCTCCCTCTCTCAAATTTTTTTTCTAGTTTTAGTGCCAAATTACAGTTTGTGTATCAAATGATAAAATTTTTCTTATTGGCCTTACTCTGCATTTTTGCAGTGTTCACCATGTATTTATTCTCTCATTCTTGTGAGCCGTGTGAGATATAGTTGTTTAGAAAAGGTAGGGAGGACCCATGGTGGCATGTGGCTCTAGAATATAAGCTCCTGGGGAGTCTCTCTTACTTCATTCCTGTTGCCCCACACCTCATTTGGCATGTGCCATGAAGTAGGCACTTGGTGAATATTGGCAGAAAGAATGTGTAAATTCTCCTACCATGCTGATTTTTTTCTTTTGTTTAGTTTTCAAGAGCAAAGGCAACAAAATGAAGGAGAGTTCATGTCACTCTCTTCTACGTTTTACTTAAATAATGTGTTTATTTAAACATAACAGCTACTCCATATGTGAGAAAAAAAAGGACGATAGAACAAGACGATAGAACAATTCCAGTTGAAGAGTTAAGTATTCCCTGAGTCTCCCCTCTCCTAAATTGCACTCTCCAGAAGTAATGGTTTTTAACTTTTTAAGTCCTCTGGGGGTAACCACTGTAATTCTAAATAAATCTGGAATACTTCTACTTCCTGACTTACTAATTTTAGACAATATCTATTGATTCTGTTAAAAATGATGAATAGTGGGCAGCCCGGGTGGCTCAGTGGTTTAGCCCCACCTTTGGTCCAGGGCGTGATCTCCCACATCGGGCTCTCTGCATGGAGCTTGCTTCTTTCTCTGCCTGTGTCTCTGCCTCTCTCTCTGTGTGTCTCTATGAATAGATACATTAAAAATCTTAAAAAAAGAAAAAAAAATAGTTACATGGCCTTGCATTTTCTCTCTCACCTTCTGATTTTACTTAGTTTAAATTGTCAATCTCTAAATACTAACTTTTATATATGAATAACATATATTTGCCTTTTTTAAAGATTTTATTAATTTATTCATGAGAGGCAGAGACATAGGCAGAGGGAGAAGCAGGCTCCTTGCAGAGAGCCTGATGCGGTACTCAATCCCAGGACCCTGAGATCATGACCTGCACCAAAGGCAGAGATGCTCAACTGCTGAGTACCCAGGCGCCCTTGAATAACATATTTAAACTGTAATTCTACTTTTAATTTTTTCAAATAGTTCCCTATTTCTGTGAGTTACAGAGTGGCCATGAATAGATTGTCCAAATTAGGATAT